ATCCTGACTCAGGGAGCAAATTCGTGTCTCTTGCGTCTCCTGCATTGGCAGGCAGAATCTTTACCACTAGTGTCACCTGGGAAGCACTCGCCTTCCTAGTAGGATTAATGATCAAATAAAACGGGTAGAGGTTAGGTGGCAGGTTTAGCAAGTCTTAAGTATGGGAGTCAAGTTTTAGGTCATGAAGGATACTATTATTTTTGAAAAATTCCTTCAGTATTTTTTATCCTAAATTTTCCCTCTTTCAGTATTACTATGAATATAGGTTTCAGTTAGTATTCAATACCATCTGTAATCAAGATCTATGAAAAATAATTTTAATACCTTATAAACTGTACTACATTAAATATATTAACCTATGCAAGCTTTAGTCTGTATGATCTAACTATTAATACTGACTCTTAAGTTTTCAGTCCCTGGGATTGCAAAGAGTTGGACATGACTGAGTGCCTAACACTTCCTGCTGCTCATAAACACAAAGACAGAACACATGCTATCAATGAGTCAATAATGAAAGATTTCTGACTTTCATTATTAAAAAAAAAGTCTATTGCTGACTTTTCTTATTTTTAAAATTGAATATCTGGAAATATGAATTTAAGTATTTAAGTTAAAATTTATACTGGTGATCAATATTCTATAAGAAAAATTCTAATCAGATTGATGTGAATGTACTTGTGGTTTTGGACTGTGAATTTTAAATCATTATAACTAGGCTCAAACACACCTATATTAATCAAAGTATTAATAGGAGCCATTACAATCAATACATTTTTGCCAACAAGAAATACGTTTATTTATTCCTGTAGCATAAAAATCCATGCTTTGAGGTTCAGTGAACTCTTGGAAAGCATTTTCTGCCTCCTGCTGGTGGTGGAAATGTTTTCTCTGCAAAAAATTGTCGAGATACTTGAAGAAGTGGTTGGTGAGAGGTCAGGTGAATTTGGCAGATGAGCCAAAACTCTGTAGCACAATTTGTTCAACTTTTGAGACATTGGTTGTGTGACCTGAGGTCGGGCATTGTAATGGGGAAGAATTGGGTCCTTTCTGTTGACCGGTGCCGGCTGCATAGATTGCACTTTTCTGTGCATCTTGTCAATTTGCTGAGCCTACTTATCAGATGTAATGGTTTTGCCAGGATTCAGAAAACTGGAGTGGATCTTACCAGAAGCAGACCACCAAACAGTGATTACGACCATTTTTTTGGTGCAAGTTTGGCTTTGGAAGTATTTTGGAGCTTCTTCTTGGTCCAGCCAATGAGCTGGTCATTGCCAGTTGTTGTATCCACTTTTTGTTGCATGTCACAAACCAATCAATAATTTTTTCATTGTTGTTGCTTAGAGTAAGAGAAGATGACACTTCAAAATGATGATAGTCTTGATTTTCAGTCAGCTCACGAGGAACCCACTTATTGGGCTGTTTCAGCTGTTCAAATGCTGAACGACTGTAGAATGGTTGACGTTGAGTTCTTAGGCAACTTCTCATGTAGTTGTAAAAGGATCAGATTTGATGATTGCTCTCAAATGGTCATTGTCAACTTCCAATGCCTGGCCACTGTGCTCATCTTCAAGTCTCTCGTCCCCTTTGCAAAACTTCTTGCATATTTTAGATGACTGAAATCCAATATAATTTATATCAGTACCCTGTTCCTTAATCTTTTAAAATTTAAGAACAAATCTTTTTGAAGGAAAAAAATATTCAAACCTTTTAAATCTGTTTTATCTTACAGGATTTAATTCAACCACTAATGTGAATTTTTGTGCAAAAGCTCTATAATAGAGAGCTTTAGAAAAAATATTTTATTTATTTTACAATAAAATACAGTCATTATATCGGAGAAGGCAATGGCACCCACTCCAGTACTCTTGCCTGGAAAATCCCATGGATGGAGGAGCCTGGCAGGCTGCGGTCCATGGGGTCGCTAAGAGTCGGACAAGACTGAGCTACTTCACTTTCATTTTTCACTTTCACACATTGGAGAAAGAAATGGCAACCCACTCCAGTGTTCTTACCTGGAGAATCCCGGGGACGGGGGAGCCTGGTGGACTGCCGTCTATGGGATCGCACAGAGTTGGACACTGTTGGACACTGCAGCAGCAGCAGTCATTACACACACACACACACACACACACACACACACACGCACAGTTGTTATTTTAGCCGCCAACTTTTTTGACTATGATTCCCAATAAAGAATGTACTGTAGTCATATAAAAATAAAAATGAATCTATACAATTTAAGCTATTGAGACAAAACTTTGAAGAAACAATACTGAACCTGTCTATCTAGAAATTATCCTAATATGTTGTATCCAGTGCCATGACAATCCATTTCTACTTTATTCTACTCTATTCTAGCCCTTTATATAGTGCTGATAATAACACTAATTCTATCTTTACACATATTATGGAAACAACCAGCAATTCAGAAAAACCTATTTTAGTAAAATAAATATATTTGAATCACATGCAGACACTACTTATTTGGGATGTTATTTCATAGTTTATGAACTCTTCCAATCATCAAGGATAGAACTCTAAGTCATGGTAGAATATAATAGGAGTTATACAAGTCGAGTTCAACATCTTAAATAATTTAAGATACTAGTAGATGCATTAGAGCTACTACATAGTTATAATTCAGCTGTGAGCCAGCTGTCCAAGTTCAATATACTCAGTAATTTTCAGGACTATTCACACATGCTAAAATTCATTATGCAATGTATGTCCTTTATCCTTTATAAACTGTCTATTTTTCCTGATGTTTTTCCTGCCTATTCCATCTATGCTCAACAAGCATAGAGAATATCAGAAAATGTATGTTTTGCTCTTTGAAAACATGATTGAAACTAATCTAAAGGTTTAGATAGCAGTTAGTAACTCTCTTTCTCTGGGACACAGTGTTCAAAGATCACAGCCTTTAAATGCCATGTTTATTTCCTAAGTAGATTTATAGTTTATTCTTATTGAGAGGGTTGAAAGGAAATGGTTTTCCTTGAAGACATTAACAACTTCTAAATTATCTAATTGATCATTGTGGATACAGCCAGTATTAACTCATCTAGGTCACAGACAGATCTATTTGCCTAGAATGATTCAATTAATTTGCATGGCCATTTCCCACCATTAAAAAGATGCCATAAATGTGAAAAAAGTGAAGTGAAATTCACTCAGTCATGTCTGACTCTTTGCAACCCCATGGACTGTAGCCTTCCAGGCTTCTCTATGCATTGAATTTTCCAGGCAAGAATATTAGAATGAGTAGTCATTTCCTTCTCCAGGGGATCTTCCCAACCCAGGGATCAAACCTGGATCTCCTGCAGGTAGATTCTTTACCATCTGAGCCACCAAGGAAGACCAAAAACCCAATAAAGTGCTATTGAAAATAATGTCTTACATGAATATTACTAAAATGAACTGAACTTGACAACATGTATAATCATAAGTGGTCAATGACTATTTGTCAAATATAAGTGGATTTTCATAAGTTTTATATTTTCTTCTATATCCATAATGGCAAACTCATTTTAAACTGTAGATATCTCTTTGCATTTGTTTCCATCATGCTTCTTTGGCAGCAGATTTTCAGTATGATTAATAAATACAGCTATTTAAAAATGCTTTACAACAAATAATTTTAGCACAGTTTTCAGAACAACAAATGGCTATATAAATAATACAATTAGTAGTAAACACACACACATACACAAAATTGTGTCTTTACCTGAATGTTTTCCAATTAAAAAGAATCAAATGTCAGAGTTAAACATTTGTGTATTCCTCATTTGCCACACTATTATAACATTTTGTTTAGATGGAATCCTAATAAAGTTTAACTTCTGACTATAAGTTTTGACTTATGAATTATTTATTAATGAGAACTTGCATGTGTAAGTTGCCAAAATTTTTACAGTAAATTTAGAAAGAATTGACTACAATTCAGTTGTGTTACATTATCATTACTTTTACTGACAATTTAGAAAGTAATGTTTTGAAAATGAAATAACAATTATGTAATATTCTTTTGACCATACTCTTAAATTATTATTTATGAATTGAATTTGCTTAAAATTGTACCTCAGAGCTAAGAATTAAATTTTCAATAGAAGCTTTAAAGTAATAATAAAGAATTCACTTTAAGAGAAAATAAAAATATTCTTATAGTTGTGAATCAACTTTTTTATTATGGCAGTGTGTAATAAAGGTATTTTGATTTTCCTAATCATATAGAAATTTTAGTATTCTATTTATTACTAATAGTAGTATATGTAGAAGACATTTAAGTGATATTTTTGCTATAATTAATTTGCTCATAATACTAAAAGTCAACAGTGCATACTATTCTGATAGAGTGGCTTATTCCTGATAGAGAAAATATCTCACACATGTTAATTTTAAATAAATTTTGAATGAGGTCAAGGTTCTCCAGTTTTAAATGAAGCTATCTAAGACTTTTTTTTTAAGAATAATTTTCAAATTGCACAAGCTATACATAGGTCAGCTTCCCTTATAGCTCAGTCAGTAAAGAATCTACCTGCAATGCAGGAGACCTGAGCTCAATTCCTGGGTCAGGAAGATCCCCTGGAGAAGGATATGGCAACCCACTCCAGTGTGCTTGTCTGGGAAATCCCATGGACAGAGGAGCCTGGCAGGCTACAGTCCATGGGGTCACAAAAGTTGGACACAACTTAGTGACTAAACCACCACCATACATAGGTCGCTTATTTTAGTACATGTCCACAAATTGAATTCATCTGTGTAACAAGTTCCTAGACGAAAAAGCAGAAAATCACAGTGCCTAAAGCACCTGCCCATCATGCTTTCTTCCAGAATTATCCATAGTGCTTACCCTGTAAAGGATAACTACTATCTCCATTTTAACACTGGATAACCATTTTTATTCACCTCCTGAAATCTAATCTGTATTCTAATGGAAAATATTGCTTTTAAAATATGTTTACACCTGTGCTTACAATTAAATGTCATTTTTCATTGAATAGGTCCACAGTGGTATCCTTCTCGAATAGGCCTGCAGCTAGAACGTGGTAAGAAATAATTCCACTCACCTACTTATTTAATTTAGAATCCCTTTTCTGTCACCAGTAGGCAATATTTATTTATCACTTACCAAATGGCAGATATTATAATAAATACTTTAAATATATTGTTTTATTTGAGTCTCCTCAAAAGCTAGTGTTCCACGTTTATGGTAGAGGAATTTTATTCTTACATAAATAAATTTCATACATTCACTGTCATTGTGTATTGAAGGCAGGATCTAAACTAACATCTTTCTGTCTCAAAAGGTTTTACTGCTCTATCCCCTCAGTCTACTGCCTCCTAATATAGTCTCAGGGATGCAGCTCAGTTCCCTTTGCCTTTATTCCTGTTCAAAAGCAGAATAAGGGAGGTAAGGAGGAACAGAATTAATTAATTATAGGGAGAAGTATTGTTTCCATTAATAAGCCTCAAGTGTTTCAAAATTTCAAACCTTATTTTCTTGTCATAAAATTTTAAAATGTTATGCTAAAAATACACAAAAGTGAGTCCTGCTAAGAATCATTGTTATTGACATCACATCACTTGACCTTGCATTTGAACTTGTTAAATAAAAGCTCTGGGTAGATTGGAAATTTCTGAGGAATATTCAGTTCAGGTCCATGATAACAAATCTACAAGAGGTATATTTTAAGAAATTTCAATCTTTAAATTTTTCTACACAATCCTGACCTGCATTGTATTTTTCTGGTACTTTGCTAATATTCAGGCTGTCATTTCTTAGATATCATATTCATTTAAGGACAAATGATGATTTCTCAGGATCTCTAAGATGTTTTGTTGTTTTCATTGCTATCTTAAATATTCCACCCTTTTTCTGAGATGTCTATGTTGAAAACATAGGTACCCAGAATATTTTTATAAATCACAGTTTCTTGAGGTCTCACATTTTTCTAAACTCAAGTGTTCAAGACAAATTCTCATCTAGCTAGAGTTTTAAAGAGAAGAATCATTGTCTTGTTTCTTTTTGCTTCTATGGGGTATAGTATGTGTTTTTCAACACATGGATGCTAAAATAACATAAAATGAAATAATGCTATTGTTTTCTGAACTTGATTCTCACATTAAAAAAAAAAAACTGAGAATACCACAAGCATGAGTGTCAGATGTAATTTCAATTTGAAGGAGATTATAAGGGACTGCAGAATTTCTGTTACTTCAACCTTTCTGGTGAACGTGACATTTTATTTCCCTTCACTCATATACCTGGCTGGGTGTACCAGTATGTGATGTGAATAAAGTATAACCCTCCAAGTGTTCTTTGATGAGAATGTGATGAAATATTTGAAAAAAAGAATCTATGAATTTAGTAATATAAGAAGGATATGGTACAAAGTTTGTTTGGAATAACACAATTTAAAACCTATCTTTCTACTTACTTATATTCAGAGTCTTTTGTAAAGTGAGCTAATAAAGAATCTAACTTATGGTTTGTGTGTGTGTGTGCTTTTTGCAGGTGATGGCTAGTGTGTAAGTAAGATTATGTTTATAAAGTACTATAATAATTTGTGCATGGTTAATACTTCATTAAACATAGTTGTAACTATTAATATTAAGGAAAAAGACAAGACCAAAACGAAGCAAGGCTTCGTTCGGATATTACATATTTGCTGCCAGAGTATATTTGCCAGAATGAGTGCACTATGAATAGTGATATCATGTTATTTTAGAGCCTTTTACAGATTCTGTACACAAAAGACTGCTAAAACACAAATAAAAGAACAAGCAATTTATTTTTTTATGGGCAAATATAGCCAACATTTTTTTTTTTTTTTTTTTGGCTTGGGAATTCCGCTTAGCTGTGCTGGGCTTGGTCTTGCTTGGCTAGTTTCACTCAAACAGCTAAGTTCAGCTAATGGACTGCTGAAGACCGGCCAGAATGATCATGGCTGTAGCCTTTCTGCTTTATATTGTCTCATGCTTCATCAGAAAGTTCTGGCCTTGTTACCACAGTGCAATCAGAATTGCAAATAAATGAGCAGAAGCACTCAAGAATTCATGAAGCCCAGGCTTAGAACTGGCTTGCGATACCTTGTCCCACATTCTATTTGTCAAAGAAAGATACTAGGCTACCCTATATTCAAGGGGTGGGGAAATTTTCACCAACTCTTAATAGAAGGGACTAAAAGTCATATTGTGAGTGATGCTGACATGGTAATGGTGAATAATTGCATATGTAGAATTGGTCCTTCTCTTCCCATTCCTGTCTCCAACCATCCACATATCATTTATACAATCTTCTAGGGTTAGAAGTATGCACCTCATTGTTTGGCCTATTCTTGGGAGAAAATGTCCCCAAAAGATATATTACTTGAGCAAATTTAGGCAAAAAATTTAGGGGCCTTAAGTGGCCAAATTATGATATAAATGGCACGGGCTCCATTAAGTGCATTCTCTTGGTCCCACATGTTCCTCTCCCACTGGAAAAGGGCATAGATATAGAATGCCTAGGAAAGGAGTTCCTGATTACTGTATCTAAGAGTGATATGATTAATGACATGTCTGGATTCTCTCACATTGTTTCACCCAAATACTATATTGATTTTCCATATTTTAAAAACAAAATGCCAATATTCTGCTCTTTGATGTCACAGTGGGAAACTATGATGTCAATAGGTACACGCTGGAAAGAAGCTTTCAGCAGTCCTTATCAATATTTCTTGCTGTTACCAGTGACCGTCACAATGACATTCTGATCAGCTGGATATCAAAGTCTTTACCTTGAACCATGTTCATCAATGTGCAACAAATTACCACAAACTTAGCAGCTTAAAACAACAATCATTTATTAGCCCAAAGATACAATATGGCTGGATTCTCTACTCAAAGTATCCACAAGTTCAGAATAAGGTATCAGCTATGCCAAATTCTCATCTTCTCATATAGACTTCTGAGAAAATCTACTTCCACCTTCAGTCTTAGCAGAAGCCACCTTTTAGCTTTTATGACAGAGATCCCTATTTCCTTGATGGCTATCCATTCCTAGAGGTCACTTTAATTATTTGCCATGTAGCCCTCTCCATTTTTAAACCAACAATAGTATAGTGACTCTTCCCAGTGTATTGAATCTTGGTATCCCTATTTCTGACTCCATTCAGATTTAAAGAATTTGTTATTAACTCTGGCCCACACAGATGACCTCTTTTGAAGCCACATGTCACAAACTAGGCAAGGAAGTCATAGTTTACTATATTCATGTTGGATTTATCAAAATTAATATATAACAATTGCCTACTTTCATCTTATACAAAATACCTGTAAGTAGAACTATAAATCTAAATATTATATTTTGAAAATCACCTGATAGTCAAAATTTAATATTTTACCCTTTCAATAATAAAGAATGAAAGGAAGTTTGTACATGAGTAGAGTTAATATAATTCATAAGTAGATTAGCATAAAATATAATACAAATAAAAGCAATAACATTAATATCATTGTACTTGTGAGATGCATTTATGCTGGTATACATAGTTCTAATCTACTAATTTTTCTTTCTGTATAACATAATTTTGTTTGCATAAAACAAATTATATTTATCCATATCTTATTTATGAGTACTTAAGATTTTTACAATGTTTTGCTACTAAAAACAGTACTAAAAAAGACATCTTTGTACATATCTTTCAGTACACAACGGCAAACTTATCTAGTGTTCATTTTTAAGAACAGAACATTTCTCTTACACACTTTCCATCATCACTTCTGTTTCCTCCTATTTCATGAGAAACTCCTTCTCAATAATCTTTGCTGTATGTTTGTCTTCTGACTTCAAAAGCCTGGAGTGCTAGGAAGCTCAGTTTCAGCTTGTATTCTTTCATTTCAAACTGAATGCATAAATCATCTCACCATGCCTCATGGCTTCAACTGTTAATGACTTTGAAAATATCTTCAGACACAGCCACCCAACTGCCTACTTGACAGCTCCCAATTGAAGACCTAATAGATATCACACACTAAATACACCCTAACTGAAATTTTCCATTTTCACCCCAAAATCTTCTCTTTCCTCACTCTTCTTTTTGTCAATTAATGATACTACAATGCAAATAAGTGCTCAGGGCAAAAAATTACCTCAGCCTGAATATCACAGGTTAAACTTTCTCTAAGATCAAACTTTTTGGGGTTGATTAATTTTTAACATCTCTACCAGTGCCATCTTAATCCAAATAGGCGTCATACCCTGGTTGGTGAATTTTTACTTTCTCCTAAGTAATCTTGCTTCCTTTTCTTCCCAGTTACCATACAGCAACCATAATGTTCTTTTTGAAAGGTGAATGATGCCCATCCCCAGGTGCTTTGCAGTGACTTTTAAAATTCTACTCCAACTAATTTATCTTAAAGTAAAATCAGTTATACAACAGTTGATATGTATGTCTACTGACACAAAATTATACTTCAAAATATACTTTATCATATTTGATTATGATATTATCTAATATTACATCTTTCTCAGAACACAATTGTAACTAGTGGTAATCTGGACTTTGTTTAAATAGCATTAGAAAACCACTGTGTATCTGAAAATTTGCCAGATACATTTTATAAAATTGGTTTATTCAAATGCTATCTTACTTTAAAGTTTTACTATAAATTGCAATTTCTATGTAAAATTTATCCTTTGCTTTCACTGGTTTCACATTAAAAATATTTATCATTTTTTTGCCTCAAAATTGTATTAAAATATTATTTCCTTATTGTTTAAGGTGGGCCCTTTCTGAAGGACAGCTTAACCATTCAAAGTGTTGCAGCTTCCTCCATTGTCACACTCTATTTTACAGACCTAGGTCAACAAGTCAGTTGGACTACAGTAAGTATCAGTTTCAAATGCAATGTAGATGTCCCACATTTTGATGTGAATGATTTGTTGAGAGAGGATATTTTCTGTAAAATAAATTCATAGTGAAACAAAATATTGCACTAAAGATATTTTATATTTTCCATTCTTACTATGATCAGTGGCCAAATTTCCATTCAAGAACAGGAGAAATGGGGGAAAAAATAGTTGAAAGAAGACAGATAGTTATTTTCTAAATGTCAATCTATCTCATGACTGATGGCCTCATTTCTATTTCCCCTGTGTCTTGTCAGTTACTTGGCATTTCTTCATCTTTTCCTTCTAGGAGCCTCAGTATGATGAAGACACATTTATCATTGGAAAGAGGAGAGATAGAATATCCCAAAGTATAATGTTCCAAGACAGTGGAGGGGACATTTTAAAAAGTGAGAGTGAAGAAATAAGACTTATTTGAGTTGTAGGGGTTGGGGCATTCTTTAAACTTTCTTGAAAGAGGTACTTTCAAAAATGGTGGCAACTGAATACAACAGCATTAGAAGAATGAAAACCATATTAAAAAACAGGAGAACTAAGAAACAGAAAATACTTGATACTACTTCACAAGTACTGAAGGATTCATGAGTAATGAATTGATAGATGGGATATCTTCAGTAGCAAGAAGCTATGTGGTATTTAGTGACAGGAAGTGAAGGAGTTAATCTGATGAATAGCTTTGACACTGATGTACACAAATTAGTGCAGTCATTCATTTTACAATTAAATTTAATCTATTTTCTTTATATTATTCAGACTTTTTATGTTTTTGTGATTACACTATATTTCATATTTGTGATGTGATTACTTTTAATATTTTCTCTTCAAATGGCTTTCTTTTGCCAGCATAGTGTTTTGAGTTTTCCTGTATAGTTAAACAATCAATTTTTAAAATTATTAAAGACACAGAGGATAATTTATACATTGTTATTTAAGTCTCAAAATGAGAAATTCAAGTTTACATTCATTAATCAAAATGTCACATGCTTTAATTTTCCACCAATTTTTCCTGTATTATCTTCTTGTATTTAGATAATTACTTATAGTGTGCTTGACTAAATGGTTGCTCTAGTTTCCAAGATTTATTGAGCCTTTGAGTACTAATTTGTTGCATTAAAAAATAAATAAAACTAAGTTTAGAGTTATTTGGCCACCTGATGTGAAGAAATGACTCATTGGAAAAGACCCTGATGTTGGGAAAGATTGAGGGCAGAAGGAGAAGGAGACAACAGGATGAGATGGTTCGGTGGCATCATCACCAACTTAATGTTGGTGATGGACAGAGAAGCCTGGCATGCTGCAGTCCATGGGGTCGCAAAGAGTCACACTGGACTGGAACGAACGACTGGACTGAAGTGAACTGAACTGAAGTTTAAAGTATTCTGAATCTTTGTGAAATATATCACAATGTTTACAGAAAAGCTACTAACAAATGCATATTGTAACAAAGGGTTTAGAGTTTAAATGTGATATCTACAGACCCTTGTGAAAAGAGATTGTAGACAAGCAGATTTTGATCTTCAAAGGTTAAAATATTCAAAGAACCTTTGCCCACATTTATGATGAAAAAGGAATTATATCTACAGAAGCCGTGTCAAAGTGAGTGGCAATAACTGTGATTCATAATAAATTTCAGCTGCATCACTGGGATAAGCACTGAGGAAAAAAGTGCTAAGGTGGAATTCTGTGACAATTGTGCTAGAAAATTACAGCTTATCTGAGAGGAAATTCATTTAGGTGACAAAAGAGAACTACGAAAATAGGCTGGATATTTTTAAATCAACCCTATGGTTCACACTTCTTTGCTCCAAATGAGTCAGTCCTATTAAATGCTAAAAATATACACATTACATTGCAATCACACCCACTTTATATCAACTAAATTGCACAATAAAAGCAATATTTTACCACAATTAACATTCTTATACATTTATAAAATATTAAAATTCACTCATAATAAAAACATTATTATAAGTTTTCTCTTTTTGTGAGAAACAATCTCTTTAATTTAGCAAGGTCAAACTTAGTAATTTAATAATATTTTTTCAGGAAGCAAGAGTTTGCTGCAGAATGTTGAGAAAATTCTTGTCTCATGAAACTCAGAATAAATTGGAAGACTTAGGATAAATAATGTTATAAATTAATATAATTATAATAAAAATAATCCCCATCTTACAAATCCTATTAACTAAAGATCACATTCCATTTTCATCATTTTTATCTTCATTCATATGTTTGTATATGCTGTGCATAGTCGCTCAGTTGTGTGAGATCCCATGGGCTATAGCCCCCCAGGCTCCTCTCTCCATGGGGATTCTCCAGCCAAGAATACTGGAGTGGGTTGCCATGCCCTTCTCCAGGGATTTTCCCAACCCAGGGATCGAACCCAGGTCTCCTGTATTGCAGGCTGATTTTTTTTTACTATCTGAGCCACCAGGAAAGCATGTGTATGTGTAGTCATATGCAAATTATGGACTTCCCTCGTAGCTCAGTTGGTTAAGAAGTCTGCCTGCAATGCAGGAGGCCCAGGTTTAATACCTGGGTAGGATTCTCTGGAGAAGGAAATGACAACCCACTCCAGCATTCTTGCCTGGAGAATCCCATGGACAGAGGAGGAGCCTGGCAGGCTACACTCCATGGGGTCGCAACAATCAGACATGACTTAGTACTAAACTACTACTACTAGGCAAATTATTTCTTGCATAGATTCATGTATCTACCAAATTCAGATAGAGAATTGTTCAGTCCTTCAAAAGGAACTCCCTCATCTTACTCCTCTGTATTTACACAGAGAACTCTATCCTGGGGCAATCACTTATCTGTTTTTCATTTCTATATTTTTGCCATGTGGTGATTGCTCTATAAACTGAATAACAGACTCAAAAAATTTTTGAGACTAATGTTTATTTTTCTCTTAGTATAGTGACTCTGGGATCCATCTTGGTTATTGCATGTATATCAATACTTATGCTTCTTTTTATTGGTGAGTAGTACTTGGTTATATGTACGTAACAGGGTTTGTTTATTCACCCACTGACAGACATCTGAATGGTCTTCAGTATTCTTTTTTTGTTGTTGTTGTTACAAATAAAGCAACAACCTACCTGTGTGTTGGTGTTTGTGTGAACATAGGTTTTTAATTCTCTGCAATCACTGTTGAGTTGTAAGTTTACCTTTAATATTCTACATATCTACATACAAGTCTTTTGTCTAATGCGTGGTTTGCAAATATTTTCTCTCAGTTTTAGCTTGTCTATTTATCATTTTAACAGGATTTTTGTTGCTGTACAAAAAGTTTTCAATTTTATTGTAGCATAATTTATTAATATTTTCTTTAAAGGATCTTGTCTTCACTATCATATGTAAGAAACATTTGCCTAGCCCTAGGCCTAGGAGTTCTTCTTCTGAGTTTTTCTAATTGTTTAACATTTTTATATTTTACGTTTTAATCATAGTTTTTTATTGTAAATAATTATCTATTTTTAATCACCAGGCCTAATGTTTTCTTTTAATTTGTCTCACATATCCTATAATCCATTTCTGGTTCTTTTTTCTTGTCCCATTTGGATTAATTGCCATACTTTCTTTTCTATTAGTTTCTCTGGTATTTTGGTTGTTGTTCAGTTCCTAAGTCGTGTCTGACTCTTTGCAACCCCCTGAACTGTAGCACATCAGGCTTCCGTGTCCTTCACTATCTCCCTGAGTAGGCTCAAACTCATGTCCATTGAGTCGATGATGCCATCCAATTATCTGATCCTGTGTTGCCCACTTATCCTCTTGTCCTCAATCTTTCCCAGCATCAGGGTCTTTTCCAATGAGTCAGCTCTTTACAGCAAGTGGCCAAAGTATTGGAGCTTCAGCTTCAACTCCAGTCCTTCCAGTGAATATTCAGGACTGATTTCCTTTAGGACTGACTGGTTTGATATCCTTGCTGTCCAAGGGACTCCTGAGAGGCCTCTCCAGCACCACAGTTTGAAAGCATCAATTCTTTGGCACTCACCCTTCTTTATGGTCCGTCTCTCACACCCATACATGACTACTGAAAAAACCATCGCTTTGACTATATGGATATTTGTCAGTAAAATGTTGTCTCTGTTTTCTAATACACTGTCTAGGTTGGTCATAGCTTTTCTTCCAAGGAGAAAGCATCTATTAATTGTGTGGCTGCAGTCACTGTCCACAGTGATTTTGGAGCCCGAGAATATGAAATCTGACACTGTTTCCACTATTTCCCCATCTATTTTCCATGAAGTGATAGGACCAGATGGCATGATCCTTGTTTTTTGAATTCTGAGTTTTAAGCCTTTTCACACTGTTCATGCAGTTCTCAAGGCAAGGATACTGAAATGATTTGCCATTCCCTTCTCCAGCAGACCACCTTTTGTCAGAACTCTCCACCATGACCTGTTCATCTTGGGTGGCCCTGCATGGTACGGCTCATAGTTTCATTGAATAGACAAGGCTGTGGTCCATGTGATGAGTGTGATTAGTTTTCCATGACTGTGGTTTTCATTCTGTCTGCCCTCTGATGGAGAAGAGGCTTGTGGAAACTTCCTAATGGGAGAAACTGGGTCTTGTTCTTGATTGATGCTTTTGAACTGTGGCGTTGGAGAAGACTTGTGAGAATCCCTTGGACTGTAAGGCGATCAAACCAGTGAATCCTAAAGGAAATCAGTCCTGATTTAGTTCCTCTTTAGTTCCTCTTCACTTTCTGCCATTAGAGTGGTATCATCTGCATATCTGATATTGTTGATACTTCTCCTGGCAAACTTGATTCCAACTTGTGAATCTAGCCCAGCATTTCCTATGATGTGCTCTGTAAATATGTTAAATAAGTAGGGTGAGGTTATACAGTCTTGATGTACTCCTTTCCCAGTTTTGAACAAGTCTGTTGTTCCATGTCCAGTACTAACTCTTCCTTCTTGTCCTGCATACAGGTTTCTCAGGAGGTAGGTAAGGTGGTCTGGTATTCCCATCTC